CGCGGCCACGATTGGCGGTGCGGGTAGGGCGGTCGCACGCCTCACGAAATGCAAAATCACGTTTGTGTGTATATGTATATGTATGTATGTATGTATGTATGTATATGTATATATGTGTGTATATATATATATATATATATATATATATATATATATATGTATATATATGTATGTATATATATATATGTGTGTGTGTGTGTGTGTATATGTATATATATATGTGTGTGTGTGTGTATATGTATGTATATATATATATATATATATATATATATATATATATATATATATATATATATATATATATATATACATACAGTGGGGATCGAAAGTTTGGATACCCCAGCTAAAAATGTGTATTAATGTGCATAAAGAAGCCAAGGAAAGATGGAAAAATCTCCAAAAGGCATCAAATTACAGATTAGACATTCTTATAATATGTCAACAAAAATTAGATTTTATTTCCATCATTTACACTTTCAAAATAACAGAAAACAAAAAAATGGCTTCTGCAAAAGTTTTTGGGCACCCTGCAGAGTTAATATCTTGTACTGCCCCCTTTGGCAAGTATCACAGCTTGTAAACGCTTTTTGTAGCCAGCCAAGAGTCTTTCAATTCTTCCTTACAAAAGTCTTCCAGTTCTTTGAGATTTCTGGGCTGTCTGTCACGCACTGCTCTTTTAAGGTCTATCCATAGATTTTCAATTATGTTGAGGTCAGGAGATTGTGAAGGCCATGAAAAAACCTTCAGTTTACGCCTCTTGATGTAATCCCCCGTGGATTTCGAGGTTTGTTTAGGATCATTATCCATTTGTAGAAGCCATCCTCTCTTAAATTCAGCTTTTTCACAGATGGCATCAAGTTACCATCCAAAATTTGCTTAAATTTTATTGAATCCATTTTTCCTTCTACTCGTGAGATGTTCCCTGTGCCACTGGCTGCAACACAACCCCAAAGCATGATTGATCCAACCCCATGCTTAACAGTTGGACAGAGGTTCTTTTCATTAAATTCTGGGCCCCTTCTCCAATTGTACCTTTGCTCATTCCAGCCAAAAAGTTCAATTTTAACCTCAACGTTCCACAGAACTTGTCTCCAAAATGCATCAGGCTTGTCTATATGTTCATTTGCAAAGTTCAAACGATGATTTTTGTGGTGAGGACGTAGAAGAGGTTTTCTTCTGATGACTCTTCCATGAAGACCATATTTGTACAAGTATCTCTTTATAGTGGAATAGTGTACCACAACTCCAGTGTCTGCCAGATCTTTCTGGAGGGATCGTGCAGTCAAACGTGGGTTTTTGAATTGTTTTTCTCACAATCCTGCGAGCTGTTCTGTCTGATATTTTTCTTGGTCTTCCAGATCTTGCTTTAACTTCCACTGTTCCTGATGACTGCCATTTCTTAATTACATTCTGAACAGAGGATATTGACATCTGAAAATGCTTTGCTATCTTCTTATAGCCTTCTCCAGCTTTGTGAGCGTCAACTATTTTCAGTTTCAGTTTTCTAGACAACTGCTTAGAAGAACCCATGGTGCTGATTGTTGGGGCAAGGTCAGATGAGTCTGGGCATTTAAAACCTTTGAGATTGACATCACCTGGTTTTCCCAGACGATGATTGAGAACAATCCATGACACTGGCAGGTGTCAGCTTTGCAAAGGGGGCAGTACAAGATATTAACTCTGCAGGGTGCCCAAACTTTTGCTGACGCCATTTTTTGTTTTCTGTTATTTTGAAAGTGTAAATGATGGAAATAAAATCTAACTTTTGTTGACATATTATAAGAATGTCTAATCTGTAATTTGATGCCTTTTGGAGATTTTTCCATCTTTCCTTGGCTTCTTTATGCACATTAATACAAATTTTTAGCTGGGGTGCCCAAACTTTCGATCCCCTGTGTATATATATATATATGTGTGTGTGTGTGTGTGTGTGTGTGTGTGTGTGTGTGTGTGTGTGTGATTTTGTGCAGCGGTGCCGCCCTGCTGCAGTAATTCTACTGTGGCTGGTCGGCAAGTGATTAAATCAACTGCAGTACTTGGTGACAGGCCAGATTTATATAGATCCGGGTAGTTTCTCCAGCACTGCCATTGAGCGCCTGCAGTTCCCTGCTGTGGTGGAATCGGACGTGACAAGTTGCAGAGTGGGCTGACCCTTCAGTGGGTGTGTTCGATGGTTGGACCTGGTCTTCCTGTCATGGTGCCATGTTTGGGCTGTTGACACCCAAATCATAATGGGATTGGAAGTATTGCCCCCTCCCCCAGGGATGCTTCTTTGGTGAACTACAAGATTCAGGTTTGCCTCAGCTGATTGTGAGTACTCTGCTGTGGTGGGTGCTCTGGTGCATCGGTATTTCCCTGCCCTGAGGTGGTCCCCACATATTCTTTTTGGCAGCTCCTGCCTTCATCCCCTTTCCCAAGTACTTCTTTGTGCGCGCTATCCCTTTTGACAGTGCGTTTTGTGTGACCAGTAGTTGACCTTCCCATTTTCAGACTAAATAAGGCAACCATCATCCTGGCTGAGCTGTCCCCCTCATTTTGAGACCCATCATACAGTAAGGCAAAAAGTACTGCACACTTCTTTGATCCCAGTTGCTTGATGTAAATAAAACTAGAAAAGCTACAATTTCTGGGGAAATTGTGTGAAGTGTTCTTGCCTCCACCAGTAGTCTACAACTCACACTCTATCTTTTGTCACTCTGCTGCCTGCTCACACACCTGGGTTCCTATGGTAACTCACTCTACAGCAAGGGCAGAGAAGAGCGGTTAAAAACAAACTGCTCCAACTTGCTCACTTCACTGGCGGTTGCCATCTTTAAACGGTTGTAGTTTAAAAAGTATAAATCCTACACTGAAGAGCTTTATATTGTGGGAATCACCTACATTTTGATGTATAGTATGTCTCTGAAATATTAAAAATGAAGGCACAGTCGCAGTTTAGAGATTGCCCTTCAAATTTGAGGTGGCTAGAGTGGAGTTTCAATGAATGTCAATGGGCAGCATGAGTTGCAAACAAATGGTCATATTGTGAAAACTATCAGGACTATGGCTTAGCCATGGCCATTTTTAGTGGCCGCAGGGATAGCTGAACATTTTGATATAAGATTTGTGTAGGTGGGCTTGAAAATGAGGGAGTGATGGCAGTTTAGAAATCATGTCCTGATTTTTCAGCTCACACTTTAGTTTTTGTCAGCTCCCACTCTAGTTTTGAACATTCCGCCATTCATTCCTATGGGACCAATTTCACCACAAAAACGCCGATATTTCGTGAACCATTCGGCGAAACGTTCCACAAAGTAATAGCACACCAATCGGGAACAATCCGCACGTTTTGGTATATTACTGTCTATGTAGTGTAAAAACTGTGGAGTTAGGGTGGTAAATTTGGCTATAATAGTAAGAATATATATGTGAGATAACCGTAAGTGGTCTTGCCATGCAAGAACACTTAACCACATGCCGCCCAGCCACTGTATAAATATGGCGGCAGGGCGGCACAGCTGGGCAAAACCACGTTTTAAAACGTGTGTTTTGTAAACAGGTAGGGGGCACACGCGAGGTGCGCTGCCGCCCTACCTGTCCCGCCAATAAGTCGCCAGGTCACAGCCGGTCGTTACCGGCTATGTCTCGACAGTCGCTGACAGAGAGCACAGCTGCAGTAGCTGTGCTTTCTGTCAGTTCCCTGACAGCTTCAGGACAAGCTGATCGGGACAGGAGAGTTTCTCTCTCCCGATCAGCGGTGTCCCGTGCAGTCCACACCCCCGCCCCCTAGTAAAACACTCCCCTCACACAGTTAACCCTTTCCCTGAAAAATAAACTTAACCCCTTCCTCCCCAGTGCCATTAGTACAGTGTCAGTGGTTTTTTTTTTTTTTTTTGCACTGATCACTGTATTGGTGTCACTGGGGGTGTCAGTGACCCCAAGTCAGTACCCCCAATGTCAGAATGTCCACCGCAGACCCACCATAAGTCGCTGATCGCTGCCATTTATTAGTATAAAAAAAACTAAAAATCCCAGTATCTTTCCCGCCATTTGTAAACGCTATAACTTTCACGTAAACCAATTAATTTACACGTATTGGGTTTTTTTTTTTAGCAAAGATGTCGCAGTATGCATTTTGGCAGAAATTTCTGACTAAATTTAATTTTTACATTTTTTTTTACTGGACATGTTTTATAGCAAAAAGTCCAAAATATTTTTTTTTTCCTCAAAATTGTCAGCCTTTTTTTTTATAGCGCAAAAAATAAAAACCGCACAGGCGATCAAATACCACAGAAAGAAAGCTCAATTTGTGGGGGAAAAAAGGATGTAAATTTCGTTTATGTACCGTATTGCATGACCGTGCAATTGTCCGTTAAACTAGCGCAGCGCTGTATAGCAAAAAAAAATGGCGTAAATTGCAGTATCTATTCCATAGTTTGTAGACGCTATAACTTTCACACAAAGCAATCAATATACACTTATTGGGATTTTTTTTTTTACCAAAAACATGTAGCAGAATACATTTTGGCCTAAATTTATAACCAACTTTGAGATTACTATATATTTTTTATAGCTGAAAGTAAAAAATATTGTTTTTCTTCAAACTTTTTGCCCTTTTTTTGTTTATAGCGTGAAAAATAAAAAGCGCACAGGTGATCAAATACCACCGAAAGAAAGCTCTATTTTGTGTGAAAAAAAGGACGTAAATTTCGTTTGGGTGCAGCATTGCATGACCGCGCAATTATCAGTTGAATTAGTGCAGCGCCGAGTAGCAAAAAGAGGCCTGGTCATTAAGGGGGGTAAATCCTCTGGAGGTCAAGTGGTTAATAAACGGTATCTTATGTTTTGACTACTACTATTTGCATTACAAATATAACATGCTTTCAGATCTTCTTTCCAGAAGTGCCTCTCCTTCCTCCAGCATACAGGCTATGCAAAAAAATGAAGTTCACCTTTTTTCTCCGCAGTTTACTGTTCGTGATAAGTTACTGATAAATTTTTATCACTTTTTTTTTTTTCAGTGCACCAAGGATTAATTCGAGTCTGTTCTAAACCAGTCATATTTGAAAAGGTAATTTTATCCATGCTCTTCTAAAATATGCTAATGATATATCTAACGTTTGACACATTGCTTAACTGTATTAGGCCTTATACACATGAGTTTATGAAAATAGACAGCATTTTTCTGCCAGAATTTGGCAGAAAAACATCTCTAATGTTACAATATGTATGTACATATCACGTTGGGGCATAACTGCAGTCTACTGGCCAGAATTTTAATTTATTCTGGCCATTGGAATACATTTTTTTATTATTCTACAGGATTTATATAGAGCCAACAGTTTGCGCAGCACTTTACAAAATGAAGGTAGACATAACCGTTACAATACAATTTGGTACAAGAGGAAACAGAGGGCTCTGCTCCTTAGAGCTTACAATCTAGGAGGAAGGGTTGAGTGATACAAAAGGTAATAGCTGTGGGGGGATGAGCTGATGGAGGAAATAAAAGGCAGTTTACTAGTTAGAAGCAAGATAGGCTTCTTTAAAGAAAAAACCGTTTTTAGGGATCGTCTAAGGGTGGCTAGATTAGGAGATCGTCGGACAGAGTAGGAAGCTCCTTAGGATGGGAGAAGCTCCGGAGAAGTCCTGGAGGCGGGAACTGGAGAGCAGAAGGTCTTGGGAGAATTGAAGAGAGCGGTTTGGTACATATTTTGAGACCAGGTTAGTGATGTAGCTGGGGACAGAGTTGTGGATGGCTTTGTAAGTTGTTGTTAGTATCTTGAATTCGTTGGGCGAGTGGAAGCCAGTGGAGGGATTAGCAGAGAGGGGTAGCAGACACTTAACGGTTGGTAAGGTGCATGAGCCTGGCAGCAGTATTCATGATGGACTGGAAGGGGAATAGCCTATGTATAGGTAAGCCAATGAGGGAGTTGCAGTAGACGAGGTGAGAGATAACCAGGGAGTGAATTAGGAGCTTTGTGATAATGTTGGTTAAAAAGGGGCATATTCTGGAGATGTTGCGGAGGTTGAGGCAGTATGATTTGGACAGGGATTGGATGTGGGCCTGAAAGGATAGTTCAGAATCCAGGGTTACATCTAGCACTCTGGCATACGGGGATGGGTTGATTGTGGTGCTATTGATCCTGACCGAGAAATCAGGGGAAGAAGCACGTGGGGGAGGAAATATTATGAGCTCAGTTTTGGATAGATTGAGTTTTAGGAAATGGTGTGACATCCAGTCTGATATGTCTGTTAGTAAATCATTGATACATGAGGAAACTGATGGATGAGCTGAGAAGTAGAGAGATTTGTGTGTCATCAGCAAATGGTATTGGAAACCATGGGAAGCTATCAGCTGACCCAAGGAAGAGGTGCAGATTGAGAATAGGAGAGGTCCAAGAACAGAACCTTGGGGGACCCCGACAGTAAGAGGAGTAGGAGTGGAGGAGGTAGAGTTGTAAGTGACACTGAAAGTGCAGTGAGGTAGGTAAAATTCAAACCAACGGAAAGTACAGTCACGGAAACCAAGTAGAGTTTTTTTTTTGAGGAGGGGGTGGTCAACTGTGTCAAAGGCAGCGTAGAGGTCTAAGAGTAAGAGTACGGAATAGTGACCATTAGTTTTAGCCGTTAACAAGTCGTTTGTGAGTTTTAGGAGAGCTATTTCTGTGGAGTGTTGTGGGCGAAATCCAGACTGAAGGGAATTGAGAAGGTAATTCTCAATAAGGTGGCAGCTCAGCCGGTTCTAGACTAAATGTTCAAGGAGTTTGGAGGGAAAAGGGAGTAAGGAGGTGGGTCTTAGATTGGTAAGTTTGGTCGGGTCCAGTGAGGCCTTTTAAAGTATGGGGGTTACTAGCGCATGTTTTAGAGAGTTGGGGGAAGATGCCAGTAGAAAGGGAGAGATTGAAGATATGAGTTAAAAAAATGAAAGATAGAGCCAGAGGGTGACCATATTATTTGCGAGGGAACAGAGTCCAGAGGACAGGTGGTTAGGTGGGCTTTAGAAAAAAAGTTTTACCAACCTTCTCTATAGTAGCTGGGTTAAACAAAGGAATTATAGATTTTGCAGGTGGTCAATGAGTGTAGGGTGAGGGAGTTTATATGGGTAACTGTTTGGTAGTTGGAAGACTACGAAGAGGAAGCCAAGGAGAGAGTGATGCTAATAAGGGAGTGATCAGAGAGAGGAAAAGGAATGTTGGTGAGGTTGCAAGGAGTGTATAGGTAGGAGAATACAAGGTTGAGGCAGTTGCCATTGGAGTGAGTAGAAGTATGTGTCCATTGTCTTAGGTCAAAAAGAAGTGGTTAAGCTCAGAAGTTTAGAGCTAGCAGGAGTGTTAAGATTAACAGGGATGTTGAAGTCATCAAGAATGATAGTGGGAATTTCAGAAGAGAGAAAGTATGGTAGCCAGGCAGAAAAGTCATCAAGGAAGCTTGATACCGGTCCAGGAGGCTGGTAGTTCACAGCAATTCTTACAGAAACTGGAGAGAATAGACGAATACAGTGAACTTCAAATGAAGAGAGGGACAGAGAGGGAGGTGAATGAAGTAACTGAAAAGTGCTTTGTGGGGATAGGAGGATTCCAACTCCACCTCCTTTCCATCCACTAGTCCTGGGAAAGTGAGTCCAGAAGAGACCACCATGGGAGAGGGCAGCAGGAGAGGGAAAGTCAGATTCATGAAGCCAGGATTCTGTAGTTGCAAGCGGTTAAAGGAGTTTGTGATAAAAAGGTCATGGACAGTGGTGAGTTTGTTACAGACAGATTTGGCATTCCAAAGGGCACAGGAAAAGGGGAGGCTGGTTCAAGGAAGAAGAGGAATAGTAACCAGATTGTTTGGATTGCAGCTGCTGCTGTTAGAAGTTAGGGTGTGCCGGATTTGATGATCAAAGGAAAAAGATGGCGGTTCAGGATTTGGGGAAATTACTGCAGATGTTAGGAGAAGCAGAAGGGTGAGAGAGGTAATATGGGAGTATGACTTATATGGAGGGACAGGTCTCCGTGTCCTGGAGGTTTTATTAGTATGTGGGCTCAGAATTAGCTGGAGTTGATGAGTACAGTAATAAGGTGAAGACAGGAGTGAGGGTGATATATATAAGCTGTGGGGTGGAGAAGAGGGGTGAAAGAGAAAGAGTTTGAAGAAAGAGGATACAACTGTGAAAAGGAGGAGTAAGGGAGTGCATATTACAGAGTAGTGAGATGAAGAAGCAGACTGGGTAAGATGAAAGAGTTGGATGGGGAAACAGGTCACCTGTAGTTTGATTTAGTATTTGAAATTGTCTGCTGTGGCTTCTCGCTTTGTGCATTCGCTGAAGTGCAGAGCCGAAGTGCAATACTCAATACATACAGGTGAAACTCAAAAAATTAGAATATCGTACAAAAGTTCATTTATTTCAGTAATGCAACTTGAAAGGTGAAACTAATATATGAGATAGACTCATTAAATGCAAAGCAAGATAGTTCAAGCCGTGATTTGTCATAATTGTGATGATGATGGCTTACAGCTCATGAAAACCCCAAATCCACAATCTCAGAAAATTTGAATATTGTGAAAAGGTGCAATATTCTAGGCTCAAAGTGTCCCACTCTAATCAGCTAGTTCCTGAGCCTTTAAATGGCCTCTCAGTCTGGTTCAGTAGGAATCACAATCATGGGAAAGACTGCTGACCTGACAGTTGTGCAGAAAACTATCATTGACACCCTCCATAAGGAGGGAAAGCCTCAAAAGGTAATTGCAAAAGAAGTTGGATGTTCCCAAAGTGCTGTATCAAAGCACATTAATAGAAAGTTATGTGGAAGGGAAAAGTGTGGAAGAAAAAGGTGCACAAGCAGCAGGGATGACCGCAGCCTGGAGAGGATTGTCAGGAAAAGGCCATTCAAAAGTGTTGGGGACTTTCACAAGGAGTGGAATGAGGCTGGAGTCAGTGCATCAAGAGCCACCACACACAGACGGATCCTGGACATGGGCTTCAAATGTCGTATTCCTCTTGTCAAGACGCTCCTGAACAACAAACGTGAGAAGCGTCTTACCTGGGCTAAAGAGAAACAGACCTGGCCTGTTGCTCAGTGGTTCAAAGTCCTCTTTTCTGATGAGAACAACTTTTGTATCTCATTTGGAAACCAGGGACCCAGAGTATGGAGGAAAAATGGAGAGGAAAACACTGCAAGATGCTTGAAGTCCAGTGTGAAATTTCCACAGTCTGTGTTGATTTGGGGAGCCATGTCATCTGCTGGTATTGGTCCACTGTGCTTCATTAAATTCAGGGTCAATGCAGCCGTCTACCAGGAGATTTTGGAGCACTTCATGCTTCCTTCCACAGATGAGCTTTATCGGGATGCTGACTTCATTTTCCAGCAGGACTTGGCACCTGCCCACACTGCCAAAAGCACCAAAACCTGGTTCAATGACCGTGGGATTACTGTGCTTGATTGGCCAGCAAACTCGCCTGACCTGAACCCCATAGAGAATCTATGGGGCATTGGCAAGAGAAAGATGAGAGACATGAGACCGAACAATGCAGAAGAGCTGAAGGCCGCTATTGAAGCATCCTGGTCTTCCATAACACCTCAGCAGTGCCACAGGCTGATAGCTTCCATGCCACGAAGCATTGAGGCAGTAATTGCTGCAAAAAGGGCCCAAACCAAGTACTGAGTACATATGCATGCTTATACTTTTCAGAGGTCCGATATTGTTCTATGTACAATCTTTGTTTTATTGATTGCATGTAATATTCTAATTTTCTGAGATTGTGGATTTGGGGTTTTCATGAGCTGTAAGCCATAATCATCACAATTATGACAAATCACGGCTTGAACTATCTTGCTTTGCATGTAATGAGTCTATTTCATATATTAGTTTCACCTTTTAAGTTGCATTACTGAAATAAATGAACTTCTGCACGATATTCTAATTTTTCGAGTTTCACCTGTAAGCCACGATCAATACTTTAGCCAAGATGATAGTTGCCAATGCTGCCCCTGGCTGAGGGGGCAGTACATTTATATGCATACGCAAGTTTTTTGTGCTTTTTTGGCACCTGTACATGCTTCTCTTCAAATTCATCTGTAAATTCCTATG